ACTCCCCGGCAACTTCAAGCTCTGGAGCTTGCCTGGACAAGCAGGCAAATGGTGGTTCTCCAGAGAGAGATAAGAGCAGAGCAGGTGGGTGGGCAGGGAGAGGTTGGGATGTGTACATGCAGGCAAGCACAGAGTAAATCCACTTAACCGTAGCGATTTGTGTCTCCCAGTCTCTGGCAACCTGAGTGCTGGTGAGTGGTGAGGCACTCAGAGCCACTTAAATGTTCGGGGAAAGCACGGAGATTCCCTGCTGCCCTGGCATTAAGGAAAGGCTTTTGTTTGAATTCAAGGAGCAAGCTTTGTTGTAGCTACATAATATTCATGAGGAGATGGCATTTTTAATCACTGTCTTCAGCTTGATGAACCTTACTGCACAAGAACTGCCTCCCCCCAGCTTATCTTTCCTATGCTGAACATGTTCATGGGAGCAAGGAGTGGTTGTGGTGAGGAGAGAAAATCCTGCCTAAAAGATCAATCCCCATGCATAAATCTATGCTGTGCTATAGTTATCTGCTACTGTTATTCCAGAAATAAAAGCTAGCAGTTTTCAGTTAAAATACAGCTTCAGCACCAAAGCTAGAAGAAATTCCTGTTGGCAGTCCGGAGTACAGCCTTTACTATTCAGCACTCCTGCCATTAGAAACAGCAGTAAAGCAACAAGCAGTTCAGAACTGCAATGCAATCACAGCAGAGGAGTCATGTACCATTTAGCTAATTGCAGCACACAGCTATTTCCTTGGGCTGAGGCAATCTGTCCTTCCCACTTACTCCTAATTTCTCTCACCTTTCTCATCTTTTAAGGCTTTTCTTCTTTCCCATTCTTTATGTAAATGTCACTTTATTTAGCTTTTACTGTAGGGGACTGGTTTCATTTTTTTCAAGCTCATGCTAGCCCCCTCCTTCTATGGTTAAATGTCAGTGTTCCTATGTCAATGCTCTTGTGCTTTCCCTCACATTACACCATCCTGTAGCATGTGATCCCTATTTCACCTTCTCAGTCTGTTGTCTTCTATCTGGGAAAAGACCCATTCGATCCAGGTTTGGATCCTGCAGGCTGGCTGCCTCTATTATCATTGAGTTTTCCCTTATTTGAGCAGGAGAACAAGAGGAGAGCCCTTGCATTAGTCCTTTTGCACGTTTTTTCATTCCAGTCCTTGGGAAAGCAGCCCAAAGATAGTGAGATCCTCTGTCATAAAACACTGCAGTAAATCAAAGTTCTCCTTAGTCCAGGGACTGAAGCATTCCAGCAAACAGAAGGGTCCTGATGTATTTCCACATCAGACTGCCATAGCCTCAGCTCCCATAAGAGACCTACTTCATTCTCCTTCCTAGAGAGTCCAACGGGAACGCACACACACCCCAGCTCTCACACCTGGCTGATGAGCTGTGTCAGAAGATATTTTGAGTTAACACAGTTAGTTAGTTATTTTAAAAATAATTTCTATTCATTAATAGGGATTGCATTCATTCCTTTACTTGTAAGGAAATTTGAGGTTTAGAGGAGTTGTCTTAAAACATCCTCACAGTTGTTTTGTCTGAGGTTCTGAGTGTTTACTAATGAGCTATAATCCCTGAAATTTCCATTTTTTGAGAGATGGCTATGGTGCAAGAAAGCAAATATGTTAAAGTAACTTGTTGAAGGACTTCAGTCTATATATTGTAATATGTTATTCTTTATTCTTTTACTATAAAAATAAGTCAAAAGCAATAAAATTTAATAAAAAATGTTTTAAAAATCCTAAGAATGTAGTCTTACTTGTTTACAAAATATATCCAAAGGCAGATGACTTAACATTGCATTCTAAAATCCTTTCCTTAGGAAATCTCTGAGAGCCATTAGTGTCTCATCATCTGCAAAGTGATTTTTCCCTGAGTGATGACTAGTTTATTCTCCCAGGCATGGTGCACGTGATTTCCTTAGGGCTGAAATCTTTTGGTCAGTTATGTCTTTTGGGACTTCTGATGCAACTGTCACCATGTTTGTACCCTATAGCAATAAATGACTGAGACACGAATGCCACTTAGTTCCTTCTCATTGCTATGACTGCAAGACAGAGCTGCAAATCTTCATCTCCTTTTGCTTCTTCTCGTTGCTGAACTTTCTAAATGTTCATAGGGTTTCCAGTTGGTCAGATTCAACTGCCTCCTGGTGTATGCTGCCACATCTCAGCCTTAGAAAGTGAGGAGTTCTTGTGGCATCTTTGGAGCTTTTTTCTTGCACCTCATCACTGAGCATCTCATTGAAAGTCTTTTGGCTTTGAATGCTCTCTGTTCTGTGAGACACAACAAGAGTTAGCCAGGAGTCATTTTTGGGGGGCTTCTTATATAAGTCCATTCCAGCACTTTAAAAGCCAGAGAAACATCATTTCACATGTTACTGCTATTTAATATTAACAACTTTAAAGCTGGGTTTAGCTGATGCCTAGAAAATTCTATAGCATACTGAAAGTGCCCTCAAAGATGAGTATCATCCTCACTGACTTCAGTTTCTGACTCTAGAGAAATAAGTCTAAATCTCTACAGGAAAAGAAACATGAACCTTGGGATAAGTGAGAAGCACGTGTCTGGCTTTTCCCTATCCATAATGTCTAAATTACTTTAGGTAGTCCAATTTAAGAAAAAATATCTTCAGTGTAAGTTGAGTTCTTCAGGAGATCTGAAGATGCTCAGTGCAAGATTCCTATCTCCTGACAGTTTACAAATCAGTGCCTCACTCAGTATCAAGCCCTTATCACATTCTCCTATGGTACTGATCAATATGGCATGGACTAAAAACGTACTCAGACAATATGTGGTTTTGGGAGGCATTTTTCTATTTTATATATGGGAACTTGAGAGCTGGAAAAAATTAATGTCACCTTTATGTCTCCAGTACCTGATTTTTCAGACTACCTAACATTACTTCTTGGTGTTTAGAATTCAGCTGTCATTGGTTGTGTTTGCAGCTATGAGTACTCATTCATGAGTCTTGCTCTCTCTCAGGCTGATCTTACTCAGTAAGTTCCAGATCCTCAACTTAGAGATATGAGGAATGACGAGTATGCATTTTGGAAGCATTTATGTAATGCCTCATAGGAATGACTTGTTGAGCATCACTCAGGTTGGGCAGGTTACCCTAGCCAACAGTCTGTTTCAGCATCACCACACCACTGTGATGCAAATTTGGGCAGATTTGAGGGGGGAGGGGAAAAAAAAAAAAGAAGGTCATGCAATTAAAATTAAAGAATTAAAGATAGTACCACATGCTTATGAATGTGCTCAGCTCTGGAATTTCCTCATACTGGACTGCTTAACTTTGAAATCCTACTCCCATAGGACTGCCAGGGTTGTTAAAGCTGACCTCAGCTCACTACCCTGATGTTGGGCACCTGCACCCCCGAGGTTACAGAATCACAGAATCACAGAATCTAAGGAGTTGGAAGGGACCTTGAAGGATCATCTAGTCCAACCCCCCTGCCAGAGCAGGATCACCTAGACCAGGTCACACAGGAACGCGTCCAGGCGGGTTTTGAATATCTCCAGAGAAGGAGATTCCACAAGCTCTCTGGGCAGCCTGGTCCAGTGCTCTGTAACCCTCACAGTAAAAAAGTTTTTCCTCATGTTCAGATTGAACCTCCTATGTTCCAGCTTGCACCCATTGCCCCTTGTCCTGTCATTGGACATCAGAGAGAAGAGCCTGGCTCCTTCCTCCTGACACTCACCGTTTACAAATTTATAAACAATAATGAGGTCACCCCTCAGTCTCCTCTTCTTCAAGCTAAAGAGACCCAGCTCCCTCAGCCGCTCCTCATAAGGGAGATGCTCCACTCCCTCGATCATCCTTGTGGCCCTGCGCTGGACTCTTTCAAGCAACTCCCTGTCCTTCTTGAACTGAGGGGCCCAGAATTGAACACAATATTCTAAATGTGGTCTCAAAAGAGGTTGTCCCGACCACCCAAGGGAGGGAGTGCTTATGGCTTCCAGGCTTCCCCACATGGACTTAAATCCACCTGTAGGGAGTGGGATGGCTGAAGCCTCTGTGCTAGAAGCAGATTAGGATTTAATCCTACCTGTTGCAACTTTTAGCTTATCTTTAA